AGCTGAGAACCCCTGCGATAGGTGTTGACCTGAGGAGCGAAGCTGTAACACGGGTTGACGGGAGAGGTGGTCCTATAGGTATGCAGGGTCCCAGACCATGTGGGTTACTGTCCTCCTCCTCGATAATTTTAAGATAAATTTCCACAGTTCCAAAACTGCTGTTTTTTAAAAAAAAAAGATAGGAAATTAAATTACAAACAAGATGAGTGTGAGTGTTTTTACAGGCGATTGTAGTGAAACGAGATAAGAAGGATCTTTATGTGTTGCTTCCTGGTCCACTCTCTTGGCGAGACGCAGATCGACGAACCGCGAGCAAAAGAACCTTGTAATTTAAAAATAAAATAAAATAAAACAAGCTCCTTACATCTTCAGAACTCGCTGATAACCCTTGTTATCTCCTGGTGTTTAATATGTGCACGATGGCCCCTGTCCTTATTTACAACACACACACGCGCGTGCTCACGGTTTTACATTCAGTTTTATATCCCCCTCCTAATAAATCCGAGCAAGCGAAAGTACCCCCATTATTCAGCCCGGCAAGACAGACTCTCACACCTTAATTAAGTGGATGATGTTCTGCTTAAAACCAAAAGGCATCCTTTGGGCTATGAGCGAAGATTAAGCATCCATCCGCTCAAAGGAAGACCAGCGTTCGGGGCCTTAAATCATGAAAAATAAACCGTCTAATGGTCTGTATTCAATAGCAAGCTGAAAGTTGGGACACAGCCTGATTTGGATTAACACGTTTTCAGTTATAACAAGTAATTTTACAGAGGATTAGTATCTTGATGGCTTGATCAATACGAGGCATTGCTGCTATTACGGATGAAGAGAAAATTACCCCTCCGGTAATAAAGTGTGCGGGTGTGCGCGGGTTCTCCTTCATTTGCAGAGGCCATTACTGTAATAGGCCCTGAGTTAACAGCTGGGGCAATTTGAACCGGCCTCGGTGTGATGAATTTTAAAGCAGAGACGATTTGCCACTCTCTCCATCTTAACGCTTCATCCCTGCATCCGTGCGCTGTTTATGTGCTGGCTTCCCAACATACGGGTGATGTATTACACCGAAGGCATCCTCTGTCTCAATCAACTATGTCTCTAATAGCACAGGGAGGGGGGGCAATAGTCTCAATTTCAGCCCGATCTCACGCAACCGTTGTCAATGAGGAGATCACGGGGTTGCCAGGAACCTCCTGGAGATTTGGGAGTGTGGAATCTAGGAAGGGCAGAGGCCTCAATGGGATGCAGTGCCAGAGAGTCCAGCCAGTGTTCCCTCTAAGCTGAGTTAGCGTGAGCTAGCTCACAGTTTTTAGCCTCCGGCTCACACATTTTTGTCTGAGCTCAGGAAGGGATGGCTCCAGAGCAAACTAGCTTATGCAGCAGCCAAATCGCTCGCTCACAACTTTAATGCCAGTAGCTCACGATGGAGAATTTTTGCTCACAAGACTCCATGGCTTAGAGGGAACACTGGAGTCCACCCTCCAAAGCTTCCATTTTCTCCAGGGGAACCGATCTCCGTAGTCTGGAGATGAGCTGTAAATCCAGGAGATCCCCAGGCCCCACCTGGAGGATGGCATCCCTAGGAGATCATCTCTGCAAATTACTTCACTTTGGTCATACATGGTAATGCGGGGGGGGGATTTATTTATTTGGGGAATAATACAGAATTATGCATAAAACTCCCTTCTATGGAAAGAGATCGCTGGATGCCTTTCAGGTACGATCCCTAGCGCTGCCAATTGGGCATGACATTCACCTGATATCTTGATGATCTGCTGGCAGTTTGATTAGTAGTTTGCTCCACTGCCTGCATCCGGCTGTGGTCATACATACTAAATAATCCACTTCCGATCCACTTTCAGTGCCCTGTCCAACTGGCAAAATCCAGTTGGAAAGGACATGGAGAGTGGATTATTTCGTGTATGCGACCACAGGCTTTGTGCAGCAACCCTAGCCTTCCTTGGTGGTCTCCCATCCAAGTAGTATCTAGAGCCGACCCTGCTGAGCTTCTGAGATTTGACAAGATATGGCTAACCCAAGGCCATCCGAGTCAGAGCAAGAATAAACAAATGGAGAAATGCTGCCCGCTAGCGTAGCCCGGAGAGGGGAAAACAGAATAGCATGCACTGCTCTCATCAGATTTCCGAAGCTAAGCAGGGTCCGTACTTGGAAAGGAGACCACCGAGGAAGACTCTGCAGAGGAAGGCAATGGCAAACTGCCTCTGCTTCTCAATTGCCTTCAAAGCCCCTTCCTTGGGTCAGTACTTGGATGGGAAACCACCAAGGAAGACTCTGCAGAAGAAGGCAATGGCAAACCGCCTCTGCTTCTCAATTGCCTTCCTGGGGCTGGTATTTGGATGGGAGACCACCAAGGAAGACTCTGCAGAGGAAGGCAATGGCAAACCACCTCTGCTTCTCACTTGCCTTGAAAGCCCCTTCCTTGGGTTGGTATTTGGATGGGAGACCACCAAGGAAGACTCTGCAGAAGAAGACAATGGCAAACCAACTCTGCTTCTCACTTGCCTTGAAAGCCCCTTGCTGAGGTCGGTACTTGGATGGGAGACCACCAAGGAAGACCCCGCAGAAGAAGACAAGGCAAACCACCTCTGCTTCTCAATTGCCTTCAAAGCCCCTTCCTGTGGCTGGTATTTGGACGGGAGACCACCAAGGAAGACTCTGCAGAAGAAGGCAATGGCAAACCGCCTCTGCTTCTCAATTGCCTTCAAAGCCCCTTCCTTGGGTTGGTATTTGGACAGGAGACCACCAAGGAAGACTCTGCAGAGGAAGGCAATGGCAAATCACCTCTGCTTCTCACTTGCCTCGAAATCCCCTTGCTGGGTTTGCCGTAAGTTGGCAACAACTTGACAGAACTTCACACACACAACACAATGTATCCCTGACCTGGATAGACCGTCTCATTGGATCTCAGCCCTTGTTAGCACTTGGCTGGGCAGTCATCAAGAAAATTCAGGGTTGCTATGCAGAGGCATGTCATGGCAAACCGTATCTGAAGGTCTCTGGCCTTGAGGGTCACCATAAGTCCGCTGTGACTATGTATGTATCTTTTGTTGCAAGATTTTTGGCTACTCTGTCTTGTAAAGTAACACAAAACAAAGACATGCCAAGGAAATATCCAGAATTAATATTCAATATGGCCGCAGCAGTTGGACGGCCTTATGTCAAACACTGGAAATCAAAATATTTGCTGAATAAAGCAAGCAAACAAAAAACACTTGTTAAATATGGGGGAGTTAGGGTCTTTAGTTTAGATGTCTGCCTATCAAAGATCAAGCAGGCTTTTCAAAGTTCTAAATTTCACTGCCATGCCAAATGGGACAATTTCCATACACTTTGTTATGAAAGATACAACTAATGGCGCTTAACACCAAAATAAGTTCAGATTGGATACAAAATACTGCAAATGCACCTCTCACTAAACAGCCCATCATTTCCACAGCAGAAAATGCCCCAAGGTTTTCCCATAACTTCAGTGTTTATATCTCTGTCTCTGCACAACATCTGAATGCAGCTCATGTATAAAATCTGTTGATGATTTAAGTTAAATATCTACTTACATTAAGGCTTTAAAAAATACTTCAGTAGAATTTGGCAACGCTCAACTGGTCATTAACAAAATCTTTCTGGATTGGTTAATTACGTGGGCAAACCTGTTCTCAAATGGTACAGCCATACACCTAAACAAGTGGTACAGTCACATAAGGCAAGAAGAGCTTTCTTGACACTGATAACACATGCAAAGCCCTAAAAATCAGGACCCACAAAAAATAACAACAAAATACTGTCTGAAGTTGTGGAGACAGGAAGAAAACCACTGTTATATTTTCAAAGAAAAGAAAGAAATTAAGATATCCTGAGGCTACCAATGAAATCACGCAGTCATTCCTGTAGAGGAAGATCCAGACGCTATCAAAGTAATGGCTTTTAATAACAGGGAAACAGGAATAAACTTCTAAAGAGCCTGCACTGAATAATATGCAGAAAAGTCAAGATATCAACTGTTTTGAATTAACATATTTCCAGATGAACCGAGTCCTAGAAGGTTGTTTTCACAATCATTCAGTGCAGTTCAGTTATTGAGTTACTCATAAGTGGGACTATTTTAGAAAACTTGACGTTTCAAGGGTGGTTTGCATTAAATCAGATAGACAGATGAACAACATATGAAACGGCCGTGTAGTGAATCAGGCTATTGATCCATCTAGTACTTACTCCATCAAAAAATTCAACTGGTGATGCTTTCCATGGTTTGGGAATACAGTGACAAGGGACTTGATTGCCTCTTGCGTTTCTGGATGGATCAAACCACTATCACTGTGACCGTTACACAATGCTGCCTTTTCTCAAGGTACCCCAGGAAAGCATACTTTGCCAGTAGGCCCAAGAGTTTTAGCCTTTTGTGTAACTCTGTGAATGTGTATTTTTCCTCACTGTTCTAGTTAACTTACAGTTTTCAGCCCTGAATCAGTGATTTTATGCTCGGAATAAATCCAAGAACAAATGGAACAGAATTTGCAACAGTTATTCCTTGAGATCAGGGGTCATTTCGTAGAAAAAGAGCTAGGGGAACTCATTAGCATATGCCACACCCCCTGACATCAGGGGCCCGGCGGTGGACCTGCAAGGCCAGCGGGAGTGCGAGGAAGCCCCGTCAAGGCCCTCCCTGGCCCCAGGCAGGCAGGGGTGGGGAGAGGCGGGGAGGAAGCAACTTACCCTCCCTCTTCTCCTGCCTCCTCCTGGCTGAATGAGGGCTGGAAGCAGGGCGGCTGGAAGCAGGGGGCAGGGCTTCGTCATGTGCCCCACCCCCTGCACCTCACCCGGGGGAACTGTGTTCCCCCACGTTCCCCCCCGAAATGACCTCTGCTTGAGATGCTCAGAGACGTCTTACATCACGACTTTTGAGGGTACAAATCACAAGTTTTGGTAAAGTCATGTGTTGATCTAGGTAATAGCTTCTGTACAAGCTGGGCATATCCTGTTACCTCTGATTCTCGGATCAGGAATTCAGTGAAATCTTCTTCCCCCTTGTTTGGCAAAGCTCTGCGTCAGAAGCTTTGAAACGTTTCCTTTTGTTCTAGCAGGCAGCGTAGCTAGAATGGGAATGACATATATGCTCATATAAGACTGATTTCTATGGAAGAATCCATGTGCATCTACCATGTTTACTCAAAAGGAAGAGGACCCTGAATGTAAGAGGACTTCTGTAAAAATGTTATTAAGAATAATACCAGACATGTGCCACTTGTATGCAAATGTAAGTCAACCTCCTCTTTTTTTGATGGCATACCTGGAAACGGGGGGGGGGGGCACTAGTCTTGCATCTGAGAAAATATTCAAAATATTTACACTAGAGTATTACTCAACAGCCAGTGTGGTATAGTGGTTAAAAGTGCCTGACTAGTATCTGGGAGACCCAGTTTCGAATCCTCACTCATGCCATGGAAGCTTGCTGGGTGACTTTGGGCCAGTCACACTCTCTCCACCTAACCTACCTCGCAGGGTTGTTGTGAGGACAAAATGGAGAAGAGGAGAAAAATTGCTTTGGGTTGCCATTGGGGAGAAAGGCAGGGTCTATATCAAGGTTCCCTCTAAGCTGCGGAGTCCTGTGAGCAAAAATCCTACTTTGTGAGCGACCGGCATTAAAGTGGTGAGCCAGCGATTTGGCTGCTGCAGAAATTAGTTTGCTCTGGAGCCATCCTTCCTGAGCTAAGGCAAGAAGCTGTGAGCAGGAGGCTGAAAAACTGTGAGCCAGGTCACCCTAACTCAGCTTAGAGGGAACACTGGTCTATATGGATTGTTCTGTTTAATCAGACTGAATGTGATTGGTTCATTTTAAAATGAATTTAAACATCTGAGCCACAGTGGCTCAGAGGTTAAGATGCTGAGTTGCAGAGCGGAAGGTTGGTAGCTTGGCAGTTCCAGACCCCAGCGTCGCATGATGGAGTGAGCTTCCGTCTCTGGCCCCAACTCCTGCCAGCCTAGCAGTTCGAAAGCAAGAAATTGCAAGTAGATAAATAGGTACTGCTTTGGTGGGAAGGTAACAGCGTTCCGTGCACCTCGGCATTTTGTCATGCCGACCACATGACCACGGAAAAGTCTTTGGACACCGCTGGCTCTTCGGCTTGGAAACAGAGATGAGCACTGCCCCCTAGAGTTGGGTTCAACTGGCTTTCGAGCAAGGGAAACCTTTACCTTTACCCTTTTTAATTATTACGTTGACTGTTTATTGGCTGGGAAATACAGTTTTTCACTTTGGACCTGGCCCAAAGAAATCAAACCAACCTCAACACCTTCCTTTGACATGGAGGGATGTCTCCTGCAAAACATTTAACGTTGTACGGGAACAAGCAGTCACCAAGCGGCACTGTGATTTAGTGGCTAATGAGCCACTTTCATTCTGTCAGAGGTTTCAAACTCCATGGGGCTGCTAAAAGCGATGCCCCCTCATAGGTGGACCCTGGCCACTGCCACAGGGAGTTACGAGTGGGTCATGAGGCTCAGACCCCTGGGCTTGAAGATGAGACTCTGAGTTCCACGTTCCCAGGTGTAAGAAAGAGAAAGGAAGGATACACTAGCTGCACAGAATGGGGAGTTGGACGAGACGACCTCGAAGGTCCCTCCCAGCTCTACGATGGCTGTCTTTATTAAAACACAGCCCCTTTTTTTGCCTTTGGGGGGGAAATGCTCCTTTCAAAATTAAAAAAAGAACTAAATTCAAGTCCAGTGGTACTTAAAAACCTACATGATCAGTGTTCCCTCTAAGATGAGTTAGTGTGAGCTAGCTCACAGTTTTTTAGCCTCCAGCTCACAGAGTTTTGTCTCAGCTCAGGAAGGAGGGCTCCACAGCAAACTAATTTATGCAGTAGCCAAATTGCTCACTCTCAACTTTAATTCCAGCAGCTCACAAAGTAGAATTTTTGCTCACAAGACTCCACAACTTAGAGGGAACATTGTACATGATTGTCATAGAATGCACTTCCATGAGAGCTACTGCCAATCAGATGTCACCCTACAGAACTAGTCGGGCTAACTAATGCTCCTATATGTATTTATTTTATTTGTTTATTTTGTTCAGATTTATTTTCCGCCCTCCTTGCAAACGGGCTCAGGGGTGAGCACAATGTAATTGGCCGTCTGGCAACACAAAACACAATAATAGTTAATTAAAACATTAAAAGCACATTTCAAAACGGTTTGCACCAATTCTGGTGTGACTGGACTGTGAGTTGATTTAATCTCATCCGGGCCACGTAGAGAGGGTGTCTTTTGATGCCACTGTTTACATTTTTCACTGCTACCCAGCATATATCCATCAGCTGAGGACATTCTTTGTGCATCTGATGAAGTTAGTTACCAACATCTAGGCGGGACCTGGAGATCTCCTAGAATTGCAACTGATCCCCAGACGACAGAACTTAGGTCCTCTGGAGAAAATGACTGCTTTGGAGGGTGGTCTCTATGACAATATACCCCACTGAGGTCCCTCCGTGCCCAAAGCCCTAAGCTTCCAGGCTCTAACCTGTACCTACAGAGGGGCATTTTGGGGGGCAGCCCCCCCCCGACTTACTGCCCAGGCCTCCAGACTTCCCATCCATCCAGTTTATTTTTCATGCATGCCAGGAGTCATTTCCTGCAGGAGCGCACAAGAGCGGAGCTCCGGCAGGAAAGAGCCCAGGGGGCGGACACATGCAACAAGCCCCACCCCCTGCTCCCAGCAGCCCTCAGTCAGAGCAAGAAGCTGCCAGGTAAGTTGCAGAGCCCCCCCCCCCCCGGCCCAGAACAGTCCAGTGGCACCTTCAAGACCAAGTTTTATTCAGGTACAAGCTCTCCCTCCTCTGCGAGGACAGATCTGCACGTTCCCCCCCAATAGCTAGCAATCCAAAAGAGTCCAGTGGAGCCTGAGCAGTGGGTGTCGCCTTCACACACTTCCAGTGATGTCAGGGTGTGTGGCATATGCAAATGAGTTATGCTAATGAGTTATCCTAATGAGCTCCTGCGCCTCTTTTTCTACGGAATGACCCCTGATGCACGCCATGGCCTTGACGTCCTGAACCATCACCCTGCCTCCCGCCTCTCTCTCTCTCGCCTTGATTTTTAAAAACTTTTACTCTCTTGTCGCTGCTGACACAGCCTAGGGGTATGTGCAGGGGTGCCCCCTGACATTTAAATACCCCCTGAAGTTTAAAAAAAAAAATGGCTACGGCCCTGCTCCTACTCCCAAACAATGTTCCCTCTAAGATGTGGAATCCTGTGAGCAAAAATCCTACTCTGTGAGCCACTGGGATTAAAATTGTGAGCGAGCAATTTGGCTACTGCATGAATGAGTTTGCTCTGGAGCCCTCCTTCCTGAGCTGAGGCAAAAATGTGTGAGCCAGAGGCTAAAAAACTGTGAGCTAGCGCACACTCACTCAGCTTAGAGGGAACACTGCTCCCAAAGTCTCCAGGAATTTCCAGTGATAAATTGGCAATCCTAGATATCGCAGACTTGGGGGAAGGGGACACACCGCGAATGTCACAAGTGTTTAGTCTTCACCTGCCACGAGATATACACAGGGAAGCGAATGTCTGTTTGGATTTTTCGAGTTCTCTCGTTTGCTTGTTTTCTCCAACAAATGACAACAGGGTCCACTCAGGAATCAAAACACGGCGGAGACGCAAACACGGGAAATCGCTCCCCGACAGTTTGCTAGTAACACCTGCTGCAGCTTCACAAACCAAAAATTGCAAAGGAAAGGAGCAGAGGGGGAGAAACGAACGGGGAAGACCCTCCAGCTGCAACGCCGTGCACGTTTGTCTGGATGCAAACATCCGCCGAGTCCTGCGGGATTTACTTTCGGAGTAGGCATGCATAAGATCGCAACGTTAAGCGATGCAGAGAAGACTGCAATGCTAAGCAATGCTAAGCAATGTCGAGCATCATAACAGGAAAAGGTAAAGGTCTCCCTTGCTCGAAAGCCAGTCGAATCCGACTCTAGGGTTGCGGTGCTCATCTCCGTTTCCAAGCCGAAGAGCCAGCGCTGTCCGAAGACGTTTCCGTGGTCATGTGGCCGGCATGACTAAACACCAAGGCGCACGGAACGCTGTTTACCTTCCCACCTGAGTGGTACCTATTTATCTACTTGCAATTTCTTGCTTTCGAACTGCTAGGTTGGCAGGAAAAAGTCGACCCCAATTTTGCACCTGGGGCATGCATCACTGGGAGGACCGTTGTTGCTTTTCTGCCTTTTCTGCTTTTAATTTACCTTCGCCTCTTTCTCTCTTTCCCCAGCGCCTCTCCTCTTCATTTTGCCCGTGCTGCATGCACCACGACCCGCCTCGCTCCGCGCCTTCCTTCCTGCCAGAGAATCCCGCCTCCCAGTAGTTTCTTGCCCTAGTCCGCCCTAAGCCACGGGAACTGTGCCACGCGTTAAGACTACAATACCCGAGATGCACCGCGGGACCCCGGACGAGAGGCGGGAGGAAAAGAAACCACGGAAGCGCCGGTTTGTAGTTCGTTGCCGGATAGGCCGCTGCCTCGAAGCGGCTCCAACGAACTACGCTTCCCATGAGGCGAAGCGGCCGCTCAGAGTCCCTTCCCTTCGTTTCCGGCCTCCTACCGGAAGTAACTTCCCGAGAGTAGCAACAGAGGCTGTTGCTAACGTAGGATGCGGAGAGGGAGCCGCCCAGGCTGTGAGTGAAATTCGGGTGCGACCTATAGAATTGTATTTATTTGTCCTAACTCACCCTGCTCTTTCTCCAAGAAGTTCAGGATGGTTTGAAACTCACAACAATCCTGTGAGGTAGGTGTAGCGGTCAGAGGTGTCAGCCTAGGATCTGAGCGACCCGGGTTCAAGTTAGGACTGCCGACTCTGTCTTGGGAAATTCATGGAGACTTGAGGGCGGTGCCTGGCGAGGGCAGAGGGAACTCAGTGGGGACGTGATGGCACTCTAGGATTTCTGTTTCTCCTGAGCTCTATGGTATACCATAGAGTCCATTCTCCAAAGTTGCTGTTTCCTCCAGGGGAACAGTGAGAGTGTGTGTGAGCAGCTGGTGGTGCTGTAATTTATTGTGCTGTGAGCTGTTTTGGGTCCCCATTGGGGAGGACGGAGGGACATGGATGACTGATGGATCCCTTGCCCTGAGCTCCCACCACCGCTCAGTGTGGCTGCTGATCTCCCCCGCCATCAGGCTCAGCATGGCTGCCGGCTCCCTCCAGCAGGATTGTGGGTCCCCACCTGTGTGTGTACGCTCACACGGGTCACACAACCGGCACATGCCTTTCAGTGGTCAAAGGGGAGCTCCTCCTTTTTTCACCCAAAGGAAAACTAGGGTTGCCAAGTCCTTTTTCTTCTGTGGCGGGACAAACAAATTTGCTTTCAGCTTAAAAGATATTTAGACATATAACCATAAAATCATTAAAAGTTTAAAAAGCCATTGTATCAAAAATGATAAAATATCTACGACTGAACTAATTATGAGTTATGTGGAAGGTAGATAAGGGTTATGCTTGATCGGCTTTGTTGTGGAATTTTACCAGATGTGTGCAGAATTTAGCTATTTGTCTAGAGATTTGCTGATTTTCCTCTATCAAAAGTATCTCAAGATTGGCACTATCTGCATCAAGTGCTGGTCTATCTAAGGGTGGGTGATAAGCTTGTCCCTGTAAGCTTAATGAAAAGGACAGCGGAAGAACATGTGGAGCTTTGGAGGCCCGATTTGGCTGTGGCCCCGCCCCCAGCATGCCCAGCGTCATCACATCACATCCGGCTGACGTGCACGCCAGGGTGGGGTTTCCCCGGGGCCTGATTCCGCAGCGGCGGAAACCGCCCCCACCCCCGCCCCGCGCGGGGGGGGGGGGGGGGGAATCCCCCCCCCCCCCCGGTGGGACTTGGCAGCCCTAAGGAAAACTGACAGGATCCATCCTAATGAATATTGCTAAATACCTGACTTATCTGGATGTGCCATCCTACAGAAGAGCTTTTACTTTGGTTCGTTGTGTGGCTATTCCCTCTAAGGCCCTAGTGGGGAAACATAGAAAGATACCATATGAAGACAGGTGCTGCCCATGTTCTATGGGAGAAGTGGAATCGATGCTCCACATGTTCTTCCGCTTTCCTTTTCATCAAGCTTACAGGGACAAGCTTATCACACACACCCCTTAGATAGACCAGCACTTGATGCAGATAGTGCCAATCTTGAGAGACTTTTGATAGAGGAAAGTCAGCAAATCTCTAGACAAATAGCTAAATTCTGCGCACATCTGGAAAAATTCCACAACAAAGCCGATCAAGCATAACTCTTATCTACCTTCCACATAACTCATAATTAATTCAGTCGTAGATATTTTATAATTTTTGATACAGTGGCTTTTTAAACTTTTAATGATTTTAAGGTTATATGTCTAAATATCTTTTAAGCTGAAAGCAAATTTGTTTGTACCTAATGAATATGTATTTCTTTGTTCACTGGTCTTGGACCGTAAATAAACATTGATTGATGGTGATGTATATGTTTTGGTGTATATAGAGTATACACACATGAACTTAGTAATATGTTATGCTATCCCATACAGACACATGAGAAATATAGATTGTATATGTAAACAGTTATATATAGAGATAGATTGTATATGTAAACAGTTATATATCATAAATTTATACATTGATATTCATACATGTGTTAAAATAACAGATTAGCTTGATTTTTTTGCAGCCTTTGTGTGTTTGTGTACTTCAGTAAGCCAATTGAAATCAACAGGCTTAAATTGGAATAACTCAGCAAATAAGTGTGCTTTTAGTTAATGCATTCGATAAATTGGTTAAAAACATTTATTTATTTTTCAAATTTCTACCTCGCCCTCCCAGCCGAAGCCAACTCAGGGCAGTTTACATAAAAACAGATAAGTTACATTAAAATATAAGTTACAATTAAAACAATTTTAAAACCATAATAAAGTGCTAGTAGTCGTCATTGTCTGTATGACAGTAGCAGCTAAATAAATATACATGAATAAAATCTCTCCCAGGAATTCTGGCCAAAGCATTTTACAAAATATCTCTCTCTCTCTCTCTCTCTCTCTCTCTCTCTCTCTCTCACACACACACACACTCACTCACTCACTCACTCACTCACTGATTTGTATATAGTTTAGAAGATGTTCAGTTAATTCATAAAATGGTTCTAGTGACCCAGTGGTAACAACATATACATACATATGAATACTCAATTACCCGCCAGATCTGTTACATTTTCAGTCCTCTTTCTCCAAGGAGTTTAAAGTAGTTCTTCACAGATTAAGTTGAAAGACAGTGACTAAACCCACTGTTATAACTGCATGGAGACTTGAACCTGCGTTTTCCTAATCCTGGTCCAACACTGACCACAATTTAAAGAGCAGGTAAATGACAACAGCAGACTGCCCCAGCCAGGCCCAGACCCTCATTTAAAGTGTCGAATTCTCTGCCAAATAATTTTAAGTCAATGAAAGCATTTGGGATTGCTTTCCTTACTTTGTTTGGATCATCTTAAGTTAATGTATGAGTTGTTTTTTCTAAAGTAAAACCTCAGTATTCAGGTTAAATTGCCGTGTTGGCACTTTGTGATCAATAAGTGGGTTTTGGGTCGCAGTTTGGGCACTCGGTCTCTAAAAGGATCGCCATCACTGACCTAGTCCAACCCCCTGCCCAATGCAGGACCAGCCTAAAGCAAGTGTAAAGTGCTGACAAGTCACAGCCAATTTATGGTGACCTGTGGAGTTTTCAAGGCAAAAGAGGTGGTTTTCCATTACCTACCTCTTGGATTTCTTTGGTAGTCTCCCATCCAAGTACTAACCAAGGCCAACCCTGCTTAGCTTCCAAGATCTGTTGAGACAGGGCTAGGCTGGGCCATCCGGGTCTAGGCAGCCATCGTTTAATCCCATGCAATTCACAATGCCTTCTGATTTCACCGTTTAAGAGAAACAGGAGGATGTCTCATCTGCATTTTGTCACCAACAGCTCCACCATGTCTGCTGCAGCTGATGAGACCGCAGAGGACCAGCCTGTGAGGGACGTGGGTCTCAGTCGCCTTCCAAATGGAGTCCTCCAAGGTTTGTGCCAATTGTTACTTGTTACACTTTCAAATTTTGTTATTTCGTTTTTACTCACCCAAGAGCTCAAGGGGGCATACAATGTTCTCTCTTCCTTCCTCTCTATCCTCACGACGACCACGGCCCAGCAAACTTCATGGCAGAGTGGCGACTTAAACCTTGGTCACCCCAGCCCAGTTTGGAATTCTGGCCACTACACGCCACACTGTCTCTCAAAAAAGAAAGGCACTTAATAAATATTTTAATGAGTAAATACAAATGGTAAGGAATTAATCAGGCCAGGTCAGAGAAGGCGTTCCAAGTAATCTCCAGTTTGGTGTAGTGGTTAAGTGTGCGGACTCTCATCTGGGAGAACTGGATTTGATTCCCCACTCCTCCACATTTATTTATTTATTTATTTAATTTTATTTATACCCCGCCCTCCCCGCGTGTGGGCTCAGGGCGGCTTACAACAGTATGGCACACAGTGCGATGAAAACACAATAAAACAATTAAAACAATTTGGTACAATGGGCTACGCCCAAGGATCCCGCGTGACTAGCATCCCCTCTCCCTATTGCACATGCCCTTAAATCCAGAGGGAGGCTTCTGTGGCCGCCCCGATGTTCATTGGCCACTCCCCGGTGGTGCTGCAATACAGGCCCTTATGATGGTAATGGTGGCGGCGGCGGCTCCTATTCGAAAGCCTGGCGGAAGAGCTCCGTCTTGCAGGCCCTGCGGAACTGTAACAGGTCCCGCAGGGCCCTGATCTCCTCCGGGAGCTCGTTCCACCAGATAGGAGCCGCCACCGAAAAGCTGCTGGTGTGACCTTGGGACAGTCACAGTTCTCTCAGAGCTGTTTTCTCAGCCGTTCTCGAAAGAGCTCTCTCAGCCCTACCTCCCTCACAGGGTGTCTGTTGTGGGGAGGGGAAGGGAAAAGAGATTGTAAGCCGCTCTGAGACTCTGAGTGAAAGGCGGGGTATGAACCAAATCTCTTCATCTTCTTCTACTGGCTTTCTGTTTGTTTGTTTGTTTTTATGGTTCTTGTTGTTATTGTTAGCTTCATTGTGCAGCCCTTTAAACTCTGTGTTATATGGAACCTCTGGATAAAATATTACACCATCAGTGTGTATTCAAAGATATGAAAACTCCTGAATGGGGCTTGTTTGGAAAATGTACGTGCTGCCTTCCCAGAGACCTGCTCGAGGCAGGTCACAAAGTAAAAATAGTACAGTAGATTCATAAGAACAGCAACATAGGAATTGTCAGTATTAAAGTAAGCCAAACAAAGAAGCTAAGAGCATTTGATCCCCTGGAGGCAGCTGAAGTCGGTTTTGTTTGGAAATCCATTTACTAGTCTGGAGCAGTGTTCCCTCTAAGCTGAGTTAGTGTGAGCTAGCTCACAGTTTTTTTAGCCTCCGGCTCACACATGTTTGCCTTTGCTCAGGAAGGATGGCTCCAGGGCAAACTAATTGATGCAGCAGCCAAATCGCTCGCTCACAACTTTCATGCCAGTAGCTCACAAAGTAGAATTTTTGCTCACAAGACTCCACAGCTTAGAGGGAGCATTGGTCTGGAGATGAGCTGTAATCCTGAGGGGATCCCCAGGTCCCACCTGGAAGGTTTGGCATCCCTGGAACTGTGGGTGACTTGTCGCTGCTTTCTCCCTCTTTTTTTGGCAGAGGCCCCCGTGGCCCAGAATGCAAAGGCTCGGCAGGCCGTGTCTCGAATCAGCCGGGAGGAGCTGGAAGACCGCCACCTTCGCTTGCAGGACGAGAATCTCTTGCTGAAACAGCATGCCCGTAAACAAGAGGATAAAATCAAGAGGTCCCTTTTCTGAAACGTCACTTGTAACGCAAATTAAAATTTGGGGGACCGCAGGGCGGAATCAGTAAAGGGTGGGAAATCTTAGGTCACAGCCTCCACAGTTTGGTGTAGTGGTTAAGTGCGCGGACTCTCAACTGGGAGAACCGGGTTTGATTCCCCACCCCTCCACTTGCACCTGGCTGGATGACCTTGGGCAAGCCATAGTTCTGGAAAGAGCTGTCCTTGAAAAAGAGCAGTTTCTGTCAGAGCTCTCTCAGCCCCGCCCACCTCACAGGGTGCCTGTTGTAGGGAGGGGAAGGGAAAGGAGTGTGTAAGCCTATCTGAGTGAAGGGCGGGGTATGAATCCAATATCTGTCTCTCTCTTCTCGTACGTCTCCTGAGCGAGTTGCGTTTCTGTTAACTTCTTATAAAGTAGCACCCTTGAGGATTCGGACGCTGTACCATTCTCTCCAGGGGTCATTTTGTAGAAAAAGAGGTGCAGGAGCTCATTAGCGTAACTCATTAGCATAACGTATTTGTATATGCCACACCCCCTGACATCACCGGAAGTGTGTCAGAAGGCAACACCCACCGCTCAGGCTCCACTGGACTGTTTTGGATTGCTAGCTATTGGGGGGGGGGGGTGCAGATCTGTCCTCGCAAAGGAGGGAGAGCTTGTACCTGAATAAAACTTGGTCTTAAAGGTGACACTGGACTGTTTTGGACCGGGGGGCTGGGGGGGGCTCTGCAACTTACCTGGCTGCTTCTTGCCCTGACTGAGGGCTGCTGGGAGCAGGGGGTAGGGCTTGTTGGATGTGCCCGCCCCCTGGGCTCTTTACTGCCGGAGCTACGCTCCTGTGCGCTCCTGCAGGAAATGACCCCTGGTTCCCTCTGTTTCATTGGGCTTTAACCTGTCCCGTGTGCTGCAACAGGAGTCCCCACCGTGGTGCCCAGGGGTGCCATACAGTGTTCCCTCTAAGCTGAGTTAGTGTGAGCCTGCTCACAATTCCTTTAGCCTCCGGCTCACACATTTTTGTCCTAGCTCAGGAAGGAGGGCTCCTGAGCAAACTAATCTATGCAGTAGCCAAATCGCTCGCTCACCACTTTAATGCCAGTAACTCACCAAGGAGAATCTTTGCTCACAAGACTCCACGGCTTAGAGGGAGCGTTGGTGCCATGCTGCCCGCCAACACCTTTCCTGCCGCCCACCAATGGTTGTGAGAAAGTGGGTGGGGCCAGCTGGACCCCTGACCAGTACGGCTTCTGGGTCGTCCCTTAAAGATCTGAGGGGCTGTGCAGATTGAAACGTTTCAAAAACAGCTGCCGCCACAATGTGGGTTTGAGTCTCTCTCTGGCTCCTCTTCCCCACCGTATTTTTAAAATCTACTTCTCTCATCCCCTGCCACTTGGCCTTCCTCTGTGTGTTTGTGTGTGTGGTTGGTTGGTTGGCTCTGCCACCCAGGGTGGCTGTTTTGTGGCCCGCCTCCCAACTTGGCCATTTTGTGGTTGCACCCATCACCTTGTGTCAGAATTCCAAAGGTGCCCACAGAACCGAAAAGGTTGAGGACCCCTGTGCTACAAGAACTGTTCTGTAAAGGAAACTTCCACATTCAGAGTGGTAAACGTCTGGATCCCAGTGCCAGGAGGCAACACTGGGGTAGACCTCGGCCTTCTGTGCCTTGTTGTTGTTCTTCCAAAGGGACTGGTGGGCCACGGTGTGAGACAGCCAGAGGTCATTTCGGGGGGATCATGGGGGATCGCAGTTCCCCCGGGTGAGGTACGGGGGGCGGGGCACATGACGAAGCCCCGCCCCCTGCTTCCAGCTGCCCCGCTTCCGGCCCTCATTCAGCCAGGAGGAGGCAAGAGAAGAGGGAGGGTAAGTTGCTTCCTCCCTGCCTCTCCCCACCCCTGCCTGCCTGGGGCCAGGGAGGGCCTTCGTGGGGCTTCCTTGCACTCCCGCCGGCCTTGCAGGTCCACCGCCGGGGCCCTCATGGGGCTCGGCAGTGGAGCTGCAAGGCCGGCGGCGGCGGGCGGGACCGTTGAGGGCGGGGTGTGTGGCCTTATGACACACTTCCGGTGATGTCAGGGGGTGTGGCATATGCTAATGAGTTATGCTAATGAGTTCCCCTAGCTCTTTTTCTACGAAACGACCCCTGGAGACAGCATACTGGACTAGATGGACCACTGATCTTATCCACCAGAGCTCTTCTTATGTTCTCTGTTCCTTTGTGGGTAGACTTCTGTATTTCTAGCTGCCTGTATGGAACCTAGTTTGCAGGCACGTACCTTGTTCTGTGACACCTCAAAGCTATGAATACCTCCCTCCTCCCCACATGTGCACTTCTGTTCCTTTAATATATATATTTTAAAGCTTCTGAGAATAACTATTTAAAAGGAAACCCTTTTAAATGGATGAAGTGTGTCTATGTTTCCAGTCTCCTGTCTGGACCGCTGGAGGAAACGAAAACCAAAAAAGACACCCTATAAACTAGACACAGCTCCTGAAGATGTGCGACCAATTTTGTAAAGTCTTGAACTTCTCTCCTCCATCAAAGCCACCTTTTCTTTCTTTGCATGCCAAGACCCTCTCCGACTCTCCCCCCCTAAAAAAAAAAAAACCTTGCGTCCCAATTCGTTGCTGGAAGTGTTTTCTGTTCTTGTATATTACATCACCTCCCCGTGCCCTTCTCTCTCTTTTGTTCTGGCTTCCCCATGTTTATCAAAACTCAAGGAAATCAAAGGTACAACCCTCGAGATGCCAAAAGCGAAAGGGGGGGGGGAAGCCTGTATCCTTTTAAAACTAGATGAAAACCATGCCTCCTGCATCCAATTATGTCCCACGGCTAACTGTTAAACCCTCTCTTAAGCGCCTCGGTATCATTTGCAGAGTGTAAGCCGTCGCGAGGCGACACCCGCTATTCAGAGGCTGCCTCAGTGCCTGCCCACCTACTCGTTTTCAGAACCGAAATGTGCTTCCCGCTCTCGCGCTAAAACTGGGAGCTCGGCATCGATGGAATGTGTTACATATTGTAAGCATGCGCCCGGGTAGCTTAATCCTCAGATGGGACTGCAGTTTTTTTTATACGTGGCCCCACCACATCCCCAATCTGTAACGATACTTAAAACAGCAGGCCGAGTTCCTCGGGAAGGTCACGCATTCCAAATTTAAGCAGCATATGGAGTAAATATGCAGTCCCTCCCTCTTTGCTAAACTTTAAATGATAAGCCTTAGGAAACTGTTATTTGTCAGTGCTATAAAGCAGATTGCTACCCAGTGGTTTCAATTATCTTCAAAGGGTTCTTCACAGGCAGTAATAGTTATATCAAAACCTGAAATTTATTATTCAGGTTCTGCGCTCAAGTCTTCACAGCAATTAGGTTCCTTTCAACGGAATCCTTTTTATGCTGACCTTTTTTTTTTTTAATTGTATTTTTTTCACCCCACCCCCACCCTCACATATTCTCTTTTTCCTCCCCAGAATGGCCACCAAGCTCATCCGGCTGGTTAACGACAAAAAAAGAGCCGATCAGATCGGGGGCGGCCCCAAGCGGCTGGGCCAGGACGTTGAGATGGAGGAAATGATCGAGCAGCTGCAGGAGAAAGTGCGGGACCTGGAGAAGCAAAACGACGGCCTCCGCAACAGGCTCATTTCCACCAAGCAGCAGCTTCAGCTGCAGGGGCACCGGCAGGCGCCCTACAGTTACATTCAGGCCCGCATCAACACCGGCCTCCGGAAGGCCAATGAGGGCACCGGAGTCCAGGAGCGTGTCAGAAAAGGTATGCAGTTGAGACACCCCTTTTTGAAACAGGTCTAAGAGACAGGTCTGCAGTTCTTCTGGACAGAGAGCCCCAGAGGTCATTTCGGGGGGGATCGCGGGGGATCGCAGTTCCCCCGGGTGAGGTACGGGGGCGGGGCACGTGACAAAGCCCCGCCCCCTGCTTCCGGCTGCCCCGCTTCCGGCCCTCATTCAGCCAGGAGGAGGCAGGAGAAGAGGGACGGTAAGTTGCTTCCTCCCTGCCTCTCCCCACCCCTGCCTGCCTGGGGCCAGGGAGGGCCTTCGCGGGGCTTCCTTGCACTCCCGCCGGCCTTGCAGGTCCACCACCGGGCCCCTCATGGGGCTCGGCAGTGGAGCTGCAAGGCCGCTGGCGGCGGCCGGGACCGTTAGGGGCGGGGGGTGTGGCCTTATGACACACTTCCGGTGATGCCAGGGGGGGTGGCATATGCTAATGAGTTATGCTAATGAGTTCCCCTAGCTCTTTTTCTACAAAACGACCCCTGGAGAGCCCGTTTGTACTGGGTCATCAAAGAGATTGGTGAGCTGCCGGGCATCCCTGGGTAAGGGAGGCGGGAGGTACTGCTGATTTCTATTTTTTAAAAAAATGTTTGCCGTAAACCTGGATGACCCAGGCTAGCCCAATAGCATTAGATCTCGGAAACGAGACAGGGTCGGCCCTGATTAGTACCTGGATGGGCGACCCCCAAGGAAGTCCAGGGTCCCAAGCATATCTGACTGGCAAAACAAATGATGGGAACACTTTACCTATGGGGAAATGGCTCGTCAACAAACACAAGAGAATGCAAAAAAAAAATTTCAAGCAGCTTGGTTCCCAGTGGTCCAATACCTTGCAGGAGGTGAAATCATCCCCAAAAATGACCACCAACGCTCCCTCTAAGCGGTGGAGTCTTGTGAGCAAAAATGCTACTTTGTGAGCTGCTGGCATTAAAGTTGTGAGCGAGCGATTTGGCTGCCGCATACATTAGTTTGCTCTGGAGCCCTCCTTCCTAAGCTAAGACAAAAATGTGTGAGCCGGAGGCTGAAAAACTGTGAGCTAGCTCACACTAACTCAGCTTAGAGGGAACACTGATAACCACCTTAAAAACTAACGGTATTTTTGAAATAGGTGATACTCCTGTGATATAGAAACCGATAAAAGGTATAATTCTGTTATGGAATATGCTGATTCCACAGTTATTATGTAGATAATCATTGCACTATATTTTCATGACATTAGTCAAATCGTTATATCTTGTTGTTTTGTATGACAAAAATAATTTAAAAAATTGAATTAAAAAAAAAGGAAGTTCAGGGTCACCACACAGAGGCAGGAAATGGCCAACCACCTCTAAGACCTCTCTTGCTGTAGAAACCCTACAGGGTTGCCATAAGTCAGGTGCGACTTGACGGCTCTTTCCATCATATATGAATGAGTCAGTCAAAGCTTGTTAAAATCTCCACCACTAAAATCTGAAAGCCCTGACCTGGATGGCCCAGGCTGGTCTGATCTTGTCAGATCTCAGAAGCCAGGGGTCATTTGGGGGGGGGACGCGGGGGGACGCCATCCCCCCGGGTGAGGTGCGGAAGGGCGGGGCCTGGAGCTCCCTGCTGGTGCCCGCTGGAGGTCGCCGCCGGCTGTGGGGAGGACACACTTCCGGTGATGTCAGGGGGTGTGGCATATGCTAATGAGTTTTGCTAATGAGTCCCCCTAGCTCTTTTTCTACGAAACGACCCCTGTCAGAAGCTAAGCAGGAGTCCCCAACCTTCTTAAGTCTGTGGGCACCTTTGGGGTTCTGACGCTGGTGCACAACCACAAAACGGCCAGTGTTTGAGGTGAGCCCCCAGATGGCCTCCACGGGAGGCAGAGCCCATCCCACAAGCACAGAGCAAGGGGAGTAAGTTTTAAAACTGCAATGGGAAAGAGAAGTCAGAGAGAGAATAAAACCAACACTTGTACTGGCAGCTGTCGCTGAAATGTCATTTTAATCTGCACAGTCAATCAGGTCTCCAGTGGGCAATCAGAAGCCCTACTGAGCGGGAGCTCACCTGGCCCCACCCACTTTTTAAAAGCACTTGGTAGGTGCAAGATGTTGGTGGGCACCATGATGCTCCTGGGGGACCCTTGTCATAGAGAATCTCATTCAGCATGCCATGTTGGCCGTACTGCTAGATATTCGAAGAAGGCAAATCGATCTGTTTGTATGCCCGGGATAAGATTCTCCAGTAAAATGGATGAGGATACATTCTCGTATTTGAAATCATGGCATGGAATATCATGTGAAGACACTATGAATAGTAGATTTTCAAGAGAGACTACCACGGTGCTTCAGCATGTTCGGATGAAGTTGTGAACGAAACGAAAATCAACTCTGGGGAGTTTCGTCAACCCACTTTTTCCCTGTACTTTTGAACCCACTTTTTTCTGTATTTTGGGTGTGCATATGAAAGACAGAATATGTAACAGTGTGGATGTGTTATTAGCTATTATAAATAACATTGTCAAATACAGTGGAGAAATTGTATTTCATTTCATTCTAAGCGCTGAGTGTCAGCCTATTTTCCGGTATACTAGTTGTCTTGGGCTGTTACCATTTATATTACTAGATATTCGAAGTCTAGTATACAGATGGGCACGAACTGGCTCACAAACTAAAGTTTGTGGTGGCTTTTGGCTGGTTCGTGAAGTTCGTGGCAAGTGAGCTGGCACGAATTTGCCATGAACTTCCAAGTGATTCGTGGTGGTTTGTGAATGGATCCATTTCCAGACAGACTGTCTCTGCTCAGTCAAAATGTTTACCAAACTTCAAATGCAGGGTGAGGTCCCCTCTGCATTTGGTGTGTGCAGCTTGCAGGGGGTCCATTCTATACGCTTTTGAACCTGTTCCTGACATTTTCCCCAAAAGCAATTCCCTGGGGGCATCTTCTTTGGGGGGCCATAACAGACCTCCCCAAGTCCAATCTGCACATAACTTGAAAGGCATCTAGAGGAGCATCATGGGGAGGTCCCCTGCAATGCCCCCTCTAAGCTGTGGGGTCTTGTGGGCAAAAATCCTACTTTGTGAGCTCCTGGCAGTAAAGTTGTGAGTGAGGGATTTGGCTGCTGCATAAATTAGTTTGCTCTGGAGCCAACCTTCCTGAGCTAAGACAAAAATGTGTGTGAGCCAGAGGCTTAAAAACTGTGAGCCAGCTCACACTTACTCAGCTTAGAGGAAACACTGGTCCCCTGCAAGTTTGATGGTTCTAGCTTGCACAAGATCCATTCTATACACTCCTGAACCTCCTGAACCGGTGCCTGTCATTTCCCCAGAAAGTACTTTCCTGGGGGCATCTTCTTGGGGGGAGGGCGTAACTCAGACCCCATAAATCCAATCCTCACCAGACTTGGAGGGCAGGTATATGAGAGTCTACTGGAGATCCCCTGCAAGTTTGGTGTCTCTACCATGTCATACACCTCATGAACCGAACCAGTTCGTTTGGCCTCTAAAAGTTCATGACGGTTCGTGGCTCCCGAACTGGGGATGCCACGAACCCGAACCACATTTCCCCAATTTGCACCCATCCCTACTCTAGCGCTCTGTGCACAATTTAACTTCCTAAGATCCTCAGTTTCCATTTAAAATGAACACACACAAATTAAGTCTCATGCTTCAGAGCAAAGCTTGAAAACATCAAGAGAAATCTTAGCATCCGGGGATGACGAGCAAGGCTTGGAGCAAGGCTCTTCAGTTCCCTGGATGTTCCCTGTCCTTGGCTCCTGCCAATGAAACCCATACATGTCCCATTCTGGGACCTTCTGTGTGCAAACTTTCCATTTTGCCAGTGGGCTTTTCTTATCTGGGATGAGAAAGGATCAGTTGGATTGGGGCAAGGGGAGCTAAGCCTCTGGGAGTCTGCTTTAGCCTGCAGATGTGTTTTTCATTGGTGAAGGGAAAAGCCCACTCACTGCTGAAAGTACTGGGAAGGGAACTGTGGTCAACATGCATGTACCTCTGGGCTCAGCCTACGGAGGTATCCTGTCTTCTTGCTGGTCTCATGCGGAAGAACTTCGTAGCCCTATGCAAGCACTATCTTTGGCTGTTACCATCTGAAAGGGGCAGAGGGTTCCTGTAATCCTTTCCCCCCAGAATTTGTCTGCGAGATCAGGGGTCATTTCGTAGAAAAAGAGCTAGGGGGACTCATTAGCATAACTCATTAGCATATGCCACACCCCCTGACATCACCAGAAGTGTGTCCTCCCCACGGCCGGCGGCGACCTCCAGCGGGCAACAGCAGGGAGCTCCAGGCCCCGCCCTCCCGCACCTCACCCAGGGGGATGGCGTCCCCCCGCGTCCCCCCCCAAATGACCCCTGGCGAGAATACAAGACCTTAACTTTGGTAGGAGAGCCTATTCTACCCTGTGCCCTCTTATTTAGACTCTGGAGTGCCCACGTACCAGCATCCCATAGAGCTATGCAATGCTTGGTCTATGCGATTGCCATAACCGGACTGTTTTACCTACTTGTCTTCACTTACATTTAAATCAACACAACATCAGTAATACCCTCCTCTGTTTCCCCTCCCCTTTTAGGCATGCGATTGCAGGATGTGGATGTCAGATCTCTGAAATCTCCCCAAGCCTTGCCCCCCAGATACGGACAAAGCCTCCTTGATGACGCAAGAGCCGAGATAAGAAATCTGTATGCCTCTTCTGTATTTCTCCCGCACCCACCCCTTCCATGGCCAGAATGTTCCGTTCACGTAGTGTTGTCGGAATCTAGGCAAAGTTGCAAATGAGCTGTGCAAGACCCGTTAAATTGGGCTTTCTCGTTCAGTTAACTGTGGCCAATGACTATCTGTTTTTACATTCCATTAACTGGGATAAGCAGATGAGTCTTAACCTTCCTTAGACGTGAATATCTACTTTGGTACTTGGGCTGGCTTGGACAAAGCAGTCCCGGTCTGTGGGTTGGATCCAGACTATTTAGTTATGTGTTTAGTTAGTTAGTTACATCATTTATAGCCCGCCTTTCTCCCAGACACTCAAGACGGATTACACAGAGTGCCTCAGTACAATCAGCAACGTGGGCCATTCCCTCGACAGTGCGTCAGGACTGTAGAAGTCTGGAATCATTACAAGAATGGGCACAGTAATAAGACCAATGAAAAAAGAAAAAAGAACTGTGACAATTTAGCGCTTGGTACTATATTCATAAATCATAATATACAATAACAGAAAATAAGTAATATATATATAGTGAATGTAGACGGTGGTCTCCGGAATGGTGTGCCGTTTCGACAATGATCTTCTTCTGAACAAGGATGTGTACATAAACTGTCTTTCAACAATTCATTTCTCTTGATGACGTATTGAAAACATACTGTTGATTCACTTCATCATAAAGCTATGCTTACAGCTATGTTCTTCAATGGGCTTAAGCATAGCTTTATGATGAAGTGAATCAACAGTATGTTTTCAATACGTCACCAAGATAAATGAATTGTTGAAAGACAGTTTATGTGCACATCCTTGTTCAGAAGAAGATCATTGTCGAAACAGCACACCCTTCCGGAGACCACCGTCTACATTCACTATATATATTACTTATTTTCTGTTATTGTATATTATGATTTATGAATGTAGTACCAAGCGCTAAATTGTCACTGTTCTTTTTTCTTTTTTCATTGAAGTCTGGAATCAACCAGAAATCTGAACAGTATGACTGAAGCGTGGCATAAGTATTAATGTGACACATGATGAAGCAGTGCAAAAATGACATAGTAGGATCCTACTTACAGTAAGTTGTACACAGCAGTACAGACCACAGTCCCCCGATCGTTTCTCCAAGTAAGTTTGTGGATCATTTTGTACAGTGCAGCCCTATGACCTGTGCAGAAAAGCCCTCTTGAATAACCCAGTTTCGTATAGTTTGTGGAAGGGCCACAACAGAGAAGTCAGATATATGGGCAGTTGTCAATTTTGCCCCCGTCATGACCAGTGTTCCCTCTAAGCTGAGTTTGTGTGAGCTAGCTCACAGTTTTTTAGCCTCCAGCTCACAGATTTTTGTCTTAGCTCAGGAAGGGATGGCTCCGGAGCAAACTACTTTATGCAGCAGCCAAATCAATCGCTCACAACGTCAATGCCAGTAGCACACAAAGTAGAATTTTTGCTCACAAGACCCCGCAGCTTAGAGGGAACATTGGTCATGACCCCAGGGGGTCTCCGCCTTCCACTGCCACCACCCTGGGCTTCGGTCCCTTGAGAAGGCCCAGGGTACCCTCTCAAGCCCATCCAAAATGCCCCTTTTACAGCTGAGAACACACAGGCGTGATTGACCCAAGCAGAGGAAATTAATTAAACAGAAAGGGTTTGTCAAGACAGCGAGGCTTTCTTGTGGGTTAACAGGAGGCTTGAGCACACATGAGTCAACTCAGGTTTTAAAAGAAAGTATTTATTTAAACCAATGATCAAAAGAGAAAAATACAAAAAAAAATACATTGTGCCCTTGTCAGCCGCCCTGAGCCTTCGGGGTAGGGCAGGATATAAATCCAAGGATGGATGGATGGATGGATGGATGGATAGATAGATAATAAAATCCAGCAACAGAACACTTCAGAGAGTACAACAAAATAATAAGCACCGTGCAGGGCTCTTTTTGTAGCAGGAGCTCCTTTGCATATTAGGCCACACACCCCTGATGTAGCCAATCCTCCAAGAGCTTACAGTAGCCCCTGTAAGAAGAGCTCTGTAAGCTCTTGGAGGATTGGCTACATTCAGGGTGTGTGGCCTAATATGCAAAGGAGCTCCTGCTACAAAAAGAGCCCTGAAAGCACTAACTCAAACTACCTGTGTCTTATAGTGCAGTTTTCAGGAAGCATAGGCCATAAGTCACAACGAGGAATGTGGCTTCACGTCGAGGTCCGCAAACACGAACCGCATACAGGAGTTCCCAGAATCTCCTAGGCTAAATTTCCCCCCAGCTAAGGTGTCACAATATACTCTTTTTCCCTTTTGGAGGTATCACAATATGTAATCAATTTACACGGACAGCAGTAATGAACCACTCACACCCAACTCTAGCAAGCATTATCGAGAGATAAACTCTGTGGTTTTGGCCTCAGTTGCGGGCACCTGCATCAGTCCCCTTCCACAGCAAACATACAGACACCCAAACTCCGGAGGCCCTCTGTCCTTCCGTTTACTTAATAAGTACCAAATGTGGATAAGTCGCAAAAAGCTTTGATAGTGGAAGAACTGTGCACTAAAGATAACATGACACACACACACACCCAAACTTGCTGGAACAAATATGCAACTGCTTCAGAAGGAAACCCTTAACAACTAGTTGCTGTGTACAAGCGCTGGGAATGATCGTGGTGGAATTGGGCAGTTGCATGCAACTGGCCAGATTTCATCCTTTACCATCAAACTATCATCCACGCAACAATTTGGATAATCTGTTGCAGCTACAAAATAACTCCACAGTGCACTACGTGCAAGCACAGCGCAAATGTTTTTTCCGTATTCTGCGATTCACGTGAAATACACATGTATCTACAGTCAACGCACAAACTTCATCAACGAGACATCTGCCCAAAAGAACCATGTCCAATAGAAAAGAATCTACAGAGGACATGGAAAAGTGTGGATCACAGTATGCCATACAGCGAATTCCACTGTGCATGCTGAGAAGCATTGCAATTATCAGGATCTTAATATCTGAGATCTTGATACCATAATTTATTTATTTATTTATTTATTTATTTATTTATTTATTTGTTAAATTTATATCCCGCCCTCCCCCGTAGGGCTCAGGGCGGCTTACATAGCAAAAGCTTGCTCATAAAACATCGAGTACTATAATACAATTTAAAACCATAATATACAATTTAAAAACCTAAACAGATAATAAAGTGCTCAAACTACTCAGCTCCCCCGTAGGGCTCAGGGCGGCTTACATAGCAAAAGCTTGCTCATAAAACATCGAGTACTATAATACAATTTAAAACCATAATATACAATTTAAAAACCTAAACAGATAATAAAGT